AGATGCCCAAAGCGGAGCAGGATAAACCCCATTCCAAGCTCTCCTTGGGATCCCCAGGCTGCTCAGGCTTCCCTGCACTACACAGCGGGGATGAATTCCCCACCCTGGATAGGAACCCATCCAGAGGCAGGGATGACTTCGGAGGTCCCTGCCCACCCCCTTGCCCTCTCCCATTCCCCAGCCCCATCTCCTGGCACCCGGAGCATGGGAGAGCCCAAGCAGCAGCTCCGGCGCTTCCCAGGCTGTCCCAACCCACCCCACACAGGCTGCAACCTGCTCCCATCACCTCTAATTAAACCCATGTGCTCCCGGGGCCCTTCCAGCTCCCAGCGCCTCCGGAATTCCCCCGGGGATGCGGCCGGGCTCTGCTGCCGGGATGAGACATGGGGGGAGCAGGGGCGGCCACCAGCGAAAGGAGCTGAGCTGTGCAGGATTGTGCCCATTCCCCACCACCTGCGAGAAGCCTGGAGAGGGGCTTGGGACAAGGGATGTAGGGCCAGGCCAAGGGGAATGGCTTCAACCTGCCCGAGGGGAGGCTGAGCTGAGCTCTGAGGCAGAAGCTCTTCCCTTCCAGCCCAAACCTTTCCATGATTCCATGAGCTGTGCCGTCCCGGGGCTCCTGCCCTGCCTGTGGATGTGGTGACAGCTCAAGGCCCTCCAGCAATGGGAGAAGGGAGCAGGTTAAAAGCCAAGGGGGAAGCTCCTGGGGTGCTGCTTTCTGGAAATGCTTCACGGATGTCACCGCGGGGCTCAGAAAGCCCCAGAGATTTCTTCCTGTTCCTCTGAAGAGATGGGGTTCAGCAGTCCTGAAACCAGGATAAACCGGAACAACAAGGACCAGGATGTGCCATGGAGCTGCTGGCAGCAGGCGGGGGGTGGGACCCTGAGGGGTGCCTCTCTTGGGGTGACTCCAAGGGAATTCCCAGGGAAGGAAGGGGTTTGGTGGCGGCACCGAGCCGGAGCCTCTGGGAATGGTGAAGGATGAGATGCGGCCCCCATAGCAGAGGGACCCCGCGGTTGCCTTGGGCATGGGTCTGTGATGTCTCCCTGCAGTGACCATGCCAGGATGGGACCCAGGTCCAGCACCCATGGGAGCATCCCCCAGGCACCCACCTATTCAGTGGAGAGGGGTCTAAAACCACAGGCAGGGATGGGATGCGCCATGGACCAAGGGGGACACAGGCAGGCAGGTGACAGCAGGACATCACTGAGCATCCCTCCATCTCTTCCCCTGGGTCACCCCAAAACAGCAGCTTAGATGGGACACCAGCTTGTGGATTTGGGCGTCACCAAGAGGGACATCCCAACCCTGGTGCTGTGCCATTCCATGCCATTCCTCCAGCCCAGGGAGACTGATCCAACACTCTCCCAGCCCCAAGGGGTTAACCCATCCCAGCAGTAGGTGGCAGGTCCGGGTGCACCGCGGTGACGTGGGGTGGTTTGTGCCCTTGGCCGGCTCCCAGCACCCGGAGCCACAAGAGCTCTGAGCAGCACCACAGGGAGCCACGTGTCCTCTGTGGTGCCAGGGACCCCCAGAGCTGCCCCATAGGCCTGGGGTAGGAGCTGGTCCTGCAGCCCTGGTGCAGGGATGGAGGGATGGAGGGAGGGAGGGATGGATGGATGGATGGATGGATGGATGGATGGATGGAGGGATAGATGGAGGGAGGGATGGAAGGGTGGATGGAGCGATGGATGGAAGGGTGGATGGAGGGATGGATGGAGGGATGGATGGCTAGAGGGAGGGATGGATGGATTGAGGGGTCGATAGAGGGATGGATGGAGGGGTAGACGGAGGGATGGAGGGACGGATGGAAGGGTGGATGGAGGGATGGATGGAGGGATGGATGGAGGGATAGATGGAGGGATGGATGGAAGGGTGGATGGATGGAGAGATGGATGGATGAATGGTGAAGGGCATCCAGTTGTGTTCCCCCCCTCTGCAGCACCAAAGAGGGTGCAGGATAGGGCCATTTCCCTCCCCAGGACAGCATTTTGGGATCCACTCACTGTTTTAGCCCAGTTTGATGCTGGGGGTGGCTAAACCTGAAATGGCTTCAGCATCCCTCGGGGCTGGAGGGGTGGGAAAAGGCTCCGAGCCCCTTCCTGGCTCTTCCCAGGGGTTGGTGGCCCCTGAGGACCTCCAGAGCCTGGAGAGGGGTGAGGGGACAGCCGGGGCTGGGGGGACATGGAGGTGTCACCGCTGCCTGGGAATCGAGTGGGAAAGAAACCCAGCCGGGCCCTGTGCAAGGTCCCTGCAGCCCTTCCCAGCGTACCCAGTGCGGTGACTGGGAGGAGCTGGGAAGGGGAGGGCCGAGCCCCCTGTCCCTGCGCAATGGTGCCCATGGGCCCGGGTGCTGCCGGGGGTGGGATGCAGCCCTCCCACCCCCGCGGGGGCCGTAAAGAGCCGGGAAGGAGCCGGATTCCTGGAGCCTGACGCAGCCCCAGCGCCGCGGCCACGCCTGGGGAGGCAGCGGGATGCGGGTGGGGAAACTGAGGCACGGCCGAGGCAGTGCCATGGGTGCCGGGGTCACCCCGGGACACGGACTGGGTGCTGCGGGCACCCCGGGCCGCACAGATTGGGGTTCACTTGTGTTAATGGGGGTCACAGGGACTTCGCTTCCTCCCCCCAGCACCCCCATCTCTGGGGACCGTCACCGGGAAGGATCCAGGCACCCGGAGTGTCACCGAGCTGCGGATGCCGCGGCACCCCGGCTCCCGGCCCCATGGCTCCCCATAGGGAGCCCTGCACGCCGTGGTGGTGGGATTGGTACTGGGTGAAGTGGGACACAGCACCCTGCAGCCGCCCAGCACCCTAAATGGATGCCAAATGCCATTTAAACCCCTTCCGGAGCAGGATGAGGACCTTCCCCTGCCTCCCCCATCCCACAGGAAGGATGCCCTCTCCCTAAGGAGGAGGAAACAGGGGGACCATGTCAGGGGACCCCCCCAGTTCCCTTCCCCAGCAGTATATCTACTGGGGGGTGCTGTAACCCCAAACCTCCTATGGGGTCCCATGGGGGACACAAAGCAGCAGCCAGTTGTGTGTGTCCGCTCCTATAACGGTCCCCAGTGGCAGGGACCACGCTGGGGTCAGCGGTGGCAGCGGGACCTGGGCACATCTGGGACCCTGCACATCTGGAGCCTTATATATGGGGGGGGAGCCGCACATGTGGGGCCAGAGGCGATGTGGGGATCTACTGTCCCCTGGTGGCCGCAGGTGGCCACTGCACCCTGTTCGAACGTGCAATGGGGAAACTGAGGCACCCCCCTCCCGGCTCCTGAGGGACATTTCCAGCACCCCCCCTTTCCTTTATCCCCTCGGTTCTGCTCGTACCTGCTCACCGATGGTCCCCAAACACCCCCGAAGGTGCAGGATGATGGGGTGCCCCCGAGATGGAGCCGGTTTGTCTGGGAAGAGCATGGAGATATGGGTCAGCCCAGGTGCGGTGGCCTGTGGGGACCGGGGGGGCACAGACAGGACCCTGCATCCTCCTTGGGGACACGGTGGTCACAGTCCATCACAGCCCCCCAGGAGGCCAAAGGACCAACACAGAGAAGCCAAAAGGCTCCAAATGAACCCCAAAACCCGGTGCTGGGGGACGACAGAGCCATGGATACGACCCCAGGCCAGGGGCAGCGATCCCATGTCCCCCAGGGCCAGAGAGGTCCCTGATGCTCATGGGGGTGTCGAGGGATGGGGATGGGGAAGGGGGGGACACCCGGGGCTGGGAGTGACTGCCCATGGCAGGGGGTTGGAACTGCAGCACCTTAAGGTCCCTTCAACCCAGGCCTGGCTCTGGTGCCACGGTCAAGAGCATGGAATGGTCCCAGCAGCAGCACCAGGGGTTTGGGATGAGCCCAGGGTTATCTGCCAGGCCCAGGCACAGAGGTCTATGGGATGGGGCTGGGTGCTATGGAACAGGATTGGGTGCTGTGGGACTGAATTTGATGCTACGGAACAGGATTGAGTGCTATGGGACGGGGTTGGGTGCTATGGGACTGAATTGGGTGCTATGGGATGGGGCTGGGTGCTATGGGAGGGAATTGGGTGCTATGGGACGGGGTTGGGTGCTATGGGACGGGGCTGGGTGCTATGGGATGGGGCTGGGTGCTATGGGACAGGGCTGGGTGCTATGGGACAGGATTGGGTGCTATGGGACTGAATTGGGTGCTATGGGACGGGGCTGGGTGCTATGGGACGAGGCTGGGTGCTATGGGAGGGGGCTGGGTGCTATGGGACAGGGCTGGGTGCTATGGGACAGGGCTGGGTGCTATGGGATGGGGCTGGGTGATATGGGACAGGGCTGGGTGCTATGGGATGGGGCTGGGTGATACGGGACAGGGCTGGGTGCTATGGGACGGGGCTGGGTGCTATGGGATGGGGCTGGGTGCTATGGGACAGGGCTGGGTGCTATGGGACGGGGCTGGGTGTTATGGGACAGGGCTGGGTGCTATGGGACAGGGCTGGGTGTTATGGGACAGGGCTGGGTGCTATGGGGATGGGGCTGGGTGCTATGGGATGGGGCTGGGTGCTATGGGACAGGGCTGGGTGTTATGGGACAGGGCTGGGTGCTATGGGACAGGGCTGGGTGCTATGGGACGAGGCTGGGTGCTATGGGACAGGGCTGGGTGCTATGGGACAGGGCTGGGTGCTGCCACCCAGGACGTCACCAAGGCTCATCCCCCCCTTTGTCACCGCCCTTTGCCTTGGGGCAGATGCCGTGGGGGGCAAAGAGCAGGCGGGTGCGGTGCCGACGTCAGGGCCGTGCCACGCTCCCGGGCGCGCTTCCCAGAGCTGATCCCGGAGGCACCGGGGTTGGGGTGAGCGCGGGCACCCCGAGAGCGGGACCCCCCCGAGGGGCACGGCGGGGGGGGTCCGGGTGCTGCGAGAACCCCATGGGGCTGGGACTGGGGCCATGGAGGGGGGGGGGGGCCTGGGGTGATGCCACCGTGCCGAGAGGGGGGGGTGCAGGTGGCGGGGGACACCCCCGGGGTGACGCGGGGACCATGCCCAGCTCAGGACCCCGCGGCAGGATCGAGCCGCCCTCGCTCCCCCCCCCCCCCAAAGGATGGGAGACCCCTTTGGCGGCTGGAGGAGCCCCGCGATGCGGTGAGTACCCAGAGGGTGCGGGTACCCCCGCCTTGGGGGGACCCCCCCACCCACCCCGGGGGCTGTGGGGCAGAGGGGACCGCGCTGTGGGGCACAAAGTTCCATCGGTCCCGTCTAGGAGGGAGCACGAGGACAGCTCCCCCCTGCGCCACTCCAACAGCTTCGCCCGCCCCACCGGGAAAAGCATCTACAGTGAGTGCGGGCAGCACCCAAACCACCCCCCCCCGTCACCCCAATCCCGGCCCCACGCTGTCCCCATCGCTCACCCCACACCTCCCTGCAGACCAGCGCAAGGGCTACGGCCGGACCCTGCTCCAGCCCCAGAGCGATTTCCAGCACCACGTCGAGGTGGGAGCCCCCCAAATCCCCCTCAAACCGCGCCGGGGGGTGGTGGGGGGTGCCCCCCGCTGACCCCCATTGCCGTGTGTGGGTCTCCCCCCCCCCCCCCCAGCACCTGCTGACTGCGCGGCTGGACGGGGACCTGCGCAGCGCCTGGGACTGCGTTGCGCGGCTGCGGGCGCTGGAGGCGCAGGGCCGGGTCTGGGGGCAGGATCTCATCCTGCAGGTCAAGGACCAGCAGCTGGTGCTGAGGGATGTGGAGAGCAAGGTACCTCCTGCACAGGGCACCCCCAGGGATGGGACCCCCCCCCCACACCATGGCCGGGGCACCCAGCTTGGCCACAGCACCCACCCGCACCCAGCACCCCCGTAAATCCACTTGTTCCCCAGCAGCTCTGACACCCCCATAACCCCAGCACCCCCTTAATGGTCTTTTGCACCCCTTTGGCCCCAACACCCGCTGCAGTCACCGCACCCCATTAACCCCAGTACCGCACTTCACCCCAGCACCCACATCAGCCTTTCAACACCCCCCTGCACCCCCAACCTAGCACCCACCTCGTGTGGCCCTTGACACCCACCCTGGCACATTCCACCCCCTAAATCCGATGCTCCCCCAGATCTGGCATCCCCCTATCTCTGTACCCCTATATTTGCCCCCCAACATCCCTAACACATCTGGTATCCCCATATTTGCCCCCCAACATCTCTAACACCATATTCAACCCTTGCATCCCCCTACCCCTCTCACCCCTCCTCCCCAGCCACCCCCCCACCACTCAGCACCCCAAAAGCCTCCTATCCCCCCCGTTGTACCCCCCTAACCCTGCCACCCCCATTATCCCCCATTGCACCCCTACAGCCCCTGCACCCCCTTGGCCCCAGTGCCCATTCTGGGGGGGGTGCTGAGCACCCCGTGTCCCCCCGCAGGAGGAGCTGGACGCCTACCCCCTGGGCAGCGTTCACGGCTGCTGGACCACGCCGGCCATCGGCAGCTACAGCTCCGTGCTGGCCATCAGCGTGCAGGAGCAGAGCCCCCCCGGCACCAGCGTCCTGCTCTTCCAGTGCGAGAGAACGGGGGTGAGCCCTGGGACCCCCCCCCCAACACACACACCATGGGGCGGGGGTTAACGGGGGGCAGCCCCGGGCTGTGCTGGGGTTGATGGCGCTGGGTCTGCGCAGGCAGAGGCGCTGAGGAGCAGCCTGGAGAAGCTGGTGAAGCAGCGCAAGGAGGAGCAGAGGAGCCTCTATGGGCACAGGTAAGGGGGGCTCGGGGGTGTCCACCCCGTCCCTGTGCCCCCAAAGCTGACCCCCCCCACATGGGGGTCTCCATGGGGAGAGGGGATAAGCTCAAAGGGTGCTGAACCCCTCCGCCCTCCTGGGGGGTGAACCCCCACTTTTGCCTTGGTACCCCAGCTCCTGGCTCATATCCCCGCCCCACGTCCCCATAGACTCAGCCCCCTTCTCACCCCATCCCCACGGGCACAGTCGCCCCCATGACCGCCATGCCCCCTCACACCCCTGTATCCCATCCATGGCCTCCATCTACCCTCATCCCCATGGACACAGCACCCCCCTACAACCCCATCTCATGGACACAGCCCCCCTCCCCCATGACCCGATACCCTCTTCCCCACCCCATATCCCATCCCTGGGCTCCTTCTCCCCTCAGCCCCTCCTCAGCTCCCCCTTTCCCATCCCTCCTTGCCCAGGAGCAGCCGAACCCCCCCATACTCGCAGGGTCCCCCCGTGGCCCCAGACCGATGGGAAAACACCCCCAAGCTCGATGCCCTCGTGTCCGACCAGCATGGGCTGGACCACGGTGAGTCGGGGGGGGGGGGCTCTGCAGTGCCTCAGTTTCCCCATGGGGAGGAATGGAGGTGATGGGGGGCAGAGCTGGGACCCTCTGCTCTCACCCAGGGCTGATGGACACCCCACGGACCACCCCCTCGAGCCAGGTCATGTCCGAGGTGGACCGGGATGTTGTAAGTCCCATCTCCCACCTCCACCCCCCCCCCAATGGGGACACCCCAGTGTTTCCCCACAGCACCCACCGGGTCTCATCCTGCTCCCATAGGAGGTTCTCAACCATGTGCTGAGCGACCTGGAGCTCTTTATGAACCGGGTGAGGGCAGCCCTGGGCATGGAGAGCACCAGCGACCTGAAGAAGAAGAAGAAGAAGAACAAAGGTGATGAGGAAGGGCTTGGAGGGGAGAGCAGCTTTGGGAGGGGATGGGGGGTCCATCCCGGTGCCAGCCCCCCCTTTTCTTCCTCCTCCAGCCCTGCCCTCCACGAGTGACTACACGGACTTCTTCCAGAAGGTGAAATACGCCCTTAACCTCTTGGTAGGTCCCATAGGGCTGGATGTGACCCCCACTGCTTGTGGGCATCCCTGGTGCGTCCTTAATGAGGGGTTCTATGGGGCTGGGGGGGGGGCTCTGTGGGATCACCCTCACCCCCTCCACACAGGGGCGGACCCACCAGCACGTGCGGGAGCCGGACCCCCGGGAGCTGCTCAGGCTCATCTTCACCGCCCTCTCCTTTGTGAGTGCCCCCCAAAGCAGGACCCAGACCCCCCCCTAAGGGTGCACAGGGTGGGGATTGCTGTCACCCCCCCCCCCCATCCTGGGGGTGCTGCTCCAGCCCCATCCCCGCAGGTCCTCGCCCATTGCCCCAACCCCAGCCTGGCCCCATCGGTGGAGGCGCCGCTGCTGGTGCCCGAAGCGCTGGAGCTGCTGGAGAGGAGCTTGGACCACGACAGCTTCCGCACATGGAAGAGCCTGGGCACGGCCTGGAACAGGACAAGGTGGGGGCCAGCGCCACCAGCATCGAGGTTTAGGGGGGGTCCAGCCTTGGTTTGGGGGTCACGGCACCCACTCGGCTCCCCCCCACCCTGTGCCCGCTGCAGGGCAGAGTACCCCGACAGCGAGCTGGTGCCCCGCTACATCCCCGTCTTCTCGGATGGGTGGTTGCCCCCCCCCATGGAGCAGGTACAGCGTGCAGGGGACCAGGACATCCCATCGCCCGCCTCCGTGACCCCATCTCACAGCCCACACTCGCCCTTCTCCCTGCTCAACGCGCAGTCACCGGGCACCGGCCGCAGGGACAAACCTGGCCAAGCGTAAGTGGTGCTGAGGGTGCTGAGGGCATCACCCAACCCCTGGATGGATGCTCATGGTCCCCCACCCTATCCATCTGCAGGGCCCCCTCCCCTAGGCAGGGGCTGGTCCGAGCCCTGTATGAGTTCCAGAGCAGGAACCCGCAGGAGCTGAGCGTCAGGATGGGGGACACGCTGCAGGTAGGAACCAAGGAGGGGGTCCCACCATGGGTGCTGCCGGGGAGGGTGGAATGGGGACCCGCACCCTGCATGATGGGTGCCGGAAGGGTCCCCCATTGTCACCGTGCACCCCAGGTCCTGGACCAGCAGAGGAGGTGGTGGCTGGTGCAGGACGGCCGGGGGGACAAGGGCTTCGTCCCCAGCAACATCCTGGAGCCCCTCTGGGGGGGGCACAGCCAGGTGGGTGCCCCCCGTTCCCCTCCCAGCGCCAGGAAGCGGAGCAGGGGTCTCACCCCGTGTCCCCCGCTCCAGACCAGCCCCCCCAGCCTGCACCCCGACTCCCCCCCCTCCGAGGTGACGGCCTGGCTGCAGGACAAGGGCTTCTCCCGGATGTAGGTGGAACCTTGATCCCCCCAACCGACACCCAACAACCAACGTGGGGGCTCCGTTGGGGGGGGGCGAGCTCTGATCACCCCTTCACTGTGCATCCCCCATCCCTCTGTCTATCCGCCTGTCCATCCATCCCTCCCTCCTTCTCTCCATCCCTCCCCTCATCCCTTCCATCCCTTCCCTCATCTCTCCTTCTTCCTTCCTTCCATCCCTCCCTCTTTCTCTCCATCCCTCTCCTCATCCCTCCCTCCTTCCACCCACCCCTTCCTTCATCCCTCCTTCTCTCCATCCCTCCCCTCATCCCTTCCATCCCTTCCCTCATCGCTCCTTCCTTCCTTCCATCCCTCCCTCCCTCCATCCCTCCCCTCATCCCTCCCTCCTTCCACCCACCCCTCCCTTCATCCCTCCCTCCCTCCATCCCTCCCCTCATCCCTCCCTCCTTCCATCCACCCCTCCCTTCATCCCTCCCTCCCTCCATCCTTCCCCTCATCTCTTCTCCTTCCTTCCTTCCATCCATCCCTCCCTCCCTCCATCCCTCCCCTCATCCCTCCCTCCTTCCACCCACCCCTCCCTTCATCCCTCCCCTCCATCCCTCCCTCCTTCCATCCACCCCTCCCTTCATCCCTCCCTCCCTCCATCCTTCCCCTCATCTCTTCTCCTTCCTTCCTTCCATCCCTCCCTCCCTCCCCTCATCCCTCCCTCCTTCCATCCACCCCTCCCTTCATCCCTCCCCCCCTCCATCCCTCCCCTCATCCCTTCCATCCCTTCCCTCATCCCTCCTTCCTTCCTTCCTTTCATCCCTCCCTTTCCTTCCATCCCTCCCCTCATCCCTCCTTCTTCCTTCCTTCCATCCCTCTCTCCCTCCATCCCTCCCTCCCTCCCTCCCTCCCTCCCTCCATCCCCCCCCCCCCCCCGTCCCCCTCCCTCCCCTCCGCTCCCCGCAGCACTGTTCGGTGCCTGGGGGCTCTCCGGGGGCAGCAGCTCCTGCAGATGAGCGCTGCCGAGCTCCGCGCCGTGTGCCCCGAGGAGTGGCGGCGCCTCCACTTCAAGCTGTCCTCGGCCCGCGCGACCCTGGGGGTGAGGGAACCCCCATGACCCCCCATGACCCCCCTCACCCCCCATAGCCCCCTGCACCCCCCTAGCACCCCTGCATCCCCCCCCATAACCCCCTGCACCCCCATAGCCCCCTTGCACCCCCCATGACCCCCTGCATCCCCCATAACCCCCTGCACCCCCCCATAGCCCCTGCACCCCCCCTAGCACCCCTGCATCCCCCCCATAACCCCCTGCACCCCCATAGCCCCCGGCATCCCCCATAACCCCTGCACCCCCCATAGCCCCCGGCATCCCCCATAACCCCCTGCACCCCCCATAGC